ACAGGTAGACATCGAGTGTCCCAGCTGACCCGCGACCGGGTGAGAGGAGCTACACAGGTCATTTGTTTTCTGCCAAGAAGCTTGTGACAATCGGCGTGAAGCACAATACCAATGGTGCTTCTGGTCAATTGCAGAGAAGTCGCTAAGCCCTCCCAAGATCAGAGCTTACTATAAACCCGGTAGCGCGCGCCTTTTCACATACCGTCATTAAGCATTCACCAACTTTTTACAGGAATCCGGCTTGCCAAACTAGGGTACACCGAGCCTAGATGGTACCGCTGCCGCGTATTTACGACTTCTTTACGATGAGCAGCTCATTGAGAGCCAATCGCAAGAGCACGGCCAGTACTTACGAGCTGGGGACGCATTCCGAGGTTGCACTACTTAGTAGCGTCGACTCGGGTCCAGGAACATTTTTGAACCCTACCCAACTTAGCTTCAGAGACGAAAAAACCTAACAAATCGAAGGTTTAACTGTAGCCGTAAGTAACGTAACCTTTCGGTACCTAGCTGCCATGCCACACGAAGGAAGCAAGAGGGCTGGGATACTGCCAAATTGCCCAAGCATAGACAGGGGAATTCAAGAAGCAGAGGTCGGGTTCGAACCACGGACCTTCCGGAACTGTGGCCGTACACCACATACAAGAGAAACCAGCGTTCACGGATATGCTAAACCTCACAACCGAAAAGCTAATTGGAAGACGGAACATGTTTCTCTTAGATAAAGATAGTAGACCGACTCACGTCATCGTGTCTATTGATTTATCACGTACTTGGACCGTAATCATTTCGTACCAATTCCAAGAAACAGAATGACATGGAAATAACAGAATCCAGAATCTGGATAAACGGTTCACCGACTAGAAACCCAGCCTTCCATTATGTACGACGAGAAATGATGAACATCTGTGAGAATTTTAACGCTGGAAATATCATGAACACAGACAAAAAGGGAGGAAGATGTACAAGGGTGGAGAAACAATAATCGAGGGAATGTTCGATTTCATCATATCGATGGAACGAATAGTTCTGTGTGGGACAGATAATAACACACGTCATCTTAATTAGCCTGGCATTACAGCCAGACAAGAGAATTTGGCCAATTTATTAAGCTTTCATTGGGGCCGCACCGGCTTCTTGATTCGTCGCGGTTCCCGACGGTGCCGGGATATCCGTTCGGGGCCGGCGGAACAGGATTATATGCGGCTCGGGCTCGTGGATCATATAGTGGACCCAGCCAGCTGACTGTTGTATTCCCAGTTCCCGCCACTCGTATTCCGACATCAAACGATTCTTCGGGACCTTCTTGGCAAGCTCTTTCGGAAGGTGCACGTGCCTAATTGCGAAATGAAGTGACATAAAAGGTTGGCTACCTGTACTCGTGCAGATCATCGTAATACTTTTCCGAATAGTAAATATTCTTGCTCGACATGAGGAACAACCGAAAATCCGCGAAAACGGCCAGGTCAATTTTCGCACCGTTCGAACATTCAAAAGCGCAGTTGAACGCTAGAGCGCCACACCAAGTCATCCAGTAAAATTCATAGTGAAGCTCACAGGATCTTCGCAAACTGCGACAGTTGCTGCACGAACACATACTTTGAAGGCGGTAAGTTCGAAAGTTGCATTCACTTTTGGCTGGTGAAAACTCGTTAGCGTGTACACTGAGTTCATTGAGTTAACTTGCGTCAGTTGTTGTCAGATTTTTACACTCGAGCATAAACTGTCTATAACTTACACGTTCTGTTCCTTGTGCACCCACTTATTCACAAACTTGGGCAAAAGCCGTTCGGAGCGCTTGTCTGTTGGATGCAAACCATGGAATACTACGTCAAACTTGCCTGACCTGGCTACTCTTTAAAGAAACCGATCTCAAAAATGACCACGTAGATCGGCCGCTCAACCCTTCTGACCCGTTTATCTACCCCATTTGCCTCTACTTCAGGATGCTATGCGCTCCGCATTCAAGCCTGTCAAGAACAAAACAAACTCACTCGACCCTGCGCTGACCATGTCACCTCGGTTGGTGATGAAACGTTTGCAATCCAACTGCTAAGCTCGGCGAACAGACCATAAACCAAGCGGCGCACCTGAGCTGCCTACATTTCACAGCATTGCTGAGAAAAAACCCTTCACATAGTTGAGTGCTGCTTGCTGGTCTCGAGGTCCAGTCGTCTGCAGAAACGAGCTTCTTGAAGTCGCCTCTAAGTGTGATAACCCCTTTTTATTTGCCGCCACCACCAAGCGGGCTTTGCTAGGTTTACAGAGGTCCCCGATGGTTGAACTGCAACAGATGCCCATGGAAGCATGACAAAGAATATTTACTGAGAATCTTGGAACACTGAGTAGAACTAATAACCAGTGTTAGGATATTCCAAGTGCCCCAACCCGCTGTCAAAATTTCCATCCTCAGACATGTGGACTATCTCCCTCATTATCAAAATACCGATGAGGTGGAGCATCGAGGTGCTGAAGTAAACCCCAAGGAAGGACTAGTTGAGTTGAAAATACCGAAGCGCGGGGCTGAACTACGCTGCAGAATCCCTTTTAAACAGTGGAATCAAAGGCGGTGTGGAATTATTAACCCTTCTAAACCCTCTGGTAGCCTAATAAACCTGCAGAAGAATCAGCATTGAATTTTATGCCTATGAAGTTCCTCAGGTTTTCCTGAAGGCAATCTGTATATACAATATGTATATACAATCTGCAGGCAATCGGTTCGTACTCAACGGCCATCCATTATCGTACTCGCAGGGACTTCTTTCCAACCAGATCCGTTCGGTGTTGGGATTCCGATAGATAGCTGTGCCATTTTTCGGGCTGGCATGGAAAGCAGGGGGGCTTTGCGTTAGTATGTACTCAGACACTTTAATTGTCTTCCCAGACATCACTCCTGCTCTTCCTCGTGATGCGCTGTATGTTCAATCTCCAAAGCTATGGGCCGATTATCCTTTCCTGAAGTTATTTACCGTTGCCCATCGATTCTGCCGAGATAGTGTTCGTTCCCTACGAAAACATGTGGGTGACTTTCATTTGTTTACTGCTTTGAGCATCGCTTACTGACAGGTGACAAACGTTCCTGGCCCTCATGGATGACATCTCGGCGCGTCACGTGCATTACGTATTTTGCATCGATGCTGGCACAGGTTTATCGTCTCAGCGCATTGCCTCAGCAGCCCGACGTGCACCCTATATATCCCACCAACAAGCTAATAGTCTTACTGGTCCGTGCCATATACACTTCATTGGCCAAGTGATAATCGAGACCACACTGAGAACTGGAGATTAGTGCGCACTGACTTCCCCTTCTCCTGCTGCTGGGTTATGACACGTGGGCCCCAACCATGCTCTACAAACTTCCCACGCGTAAACTTTGAGGATTTGTATCGTCTTTGATGAACGCGAATTTGGACCGGGCCTTGGCGGCGTAGTCATGCAGATCTGTTGTGCAGAAAACTCACAAAACTGATGGTCCATCCGTTAACGTGGAAAACAACCGGTGGTCGAACGAGTCAAAAGATACCCAGGAGGATTAGACACGTTTTGAAAAGTAGGCGCAAACTATTCTTCAAGAAGACGACTACAAGAGAATCACAGGAAGGACTGGTATTACATAAGACTCGAAACCACTGCAAATTCAGATTCCCACAGAGTGTTTCAAAACGCTAAGTCTAGCCTAGAAAAACAAGTGTGTGCCACTGAATAAACAGCCTTCTCTTTGCTCCTGTAAACGAAGATCCCGGGAACGATACACCGGGAGCTTCTGAGGCCCACACGGACAATTATACCGGAATGAATTCTGTTGTTGCAACACCATTTCAACCGAACACTCCCTATCAAACTTACTATTCGCAGAGAGAGATTTTCGAGGCCGCTTGCGCGAAATAAGCATTTTCACGATGGCTGGGCCATATAAACCCATTTCAGAATCCTGAAGCATTTATCGGCTTGGCCAAACTTTTAAATGATACTTCGCGGTCCCCCTACCAAGGTAAACTTCCCCCCTTGGAAGGGCGGTGCTTTTACGATAATCTACAGCGGTCGATGCCGCTTGTTACCGGCAGCTACAAGCTTTCTGGACACTGTCACAAGTGTTCGAACGCATTATGAAACGTGATGCGCTGATTCACCACATTAACAACAACCTGATACCCCGAGGCATAACGGATTTTTCCCAAAATGGTCTTGCGTGTCAAATATAGTGCTGTCCCGGACAGCTTGAGATCGATCAAAGACGAAGAACTAGTATCGGTTTTTGTAGGTCCCTTATTCCAAATGGCAGCAGGCCCATTGATTTTGTCGGAACATCTAAAATTTTTCGTTTCTCCTAATACTGTCATTGCCTCCAAAGGAACAAATGCTTTCTCACCCCTGATTGGGGAAGGTCTGAACGAAGCAGTTTGCCGCTAACCGTGCCAAAGTATATCGCGGGTGCTTTTGGTAGCCTTTTAAGCTTGGCTCGTGGCATGTGCATCGGCTGTGGCCGCTGTAACTAGACGAATTTTAGTTCAGCTGCGGCTATTTCGTTCAAAGACGAGATGCACGATGGCTTGCGCCTAAACCGATCCCATACTTTATTTACCTCCTCTTCCCGGTCGAAATCTCTCCGTGTCTGCTGCGTTTGGCTTATAGACTCGATGCGCTTTTGTAATCTCTCATGAACTTTTAACGCTTGACTTGTCGAACCAGTTTGGTCGACCATCACTTACGCGCGCATTTCGACCACTTTGCTTCACCTCGTGTTTTGCCGCCGTGGGCTAGACGCACACCCAAAATTTCTCTGCAACCGTGGTTCGAAGGGGGAAAACTTTAGCATAAAGTTTTAATATTTGATGGTAATATCCGAGCGTATGAGATCTTCCCAAACGGCTGCAGTTTTCTTGAAAGTTGTTTAAATCTACTCAATCCCCACGATATTCATGGCCTGCGATATTCATATTTTAAATGGCTGCTATGGCTGAGCACGTGAATGCGGAGGA